CAACCACAACCACAACTACAAACACACAATCACAAAGGCACAACCGCAACCACAACCACAACTACAAACACACAATCACAACCATTACCACAACCACAAACACACAACCACAAACACACAACCACAAACACAACCACAACCACAACACAGCACACAACCACAGCACACAACCCGAGGACCCACAAGCAACATCGAGAACTACAATACTAACGACTATGGCAACATGCTCCTCACTATGGCATCAAGACAAATGATTGAAATGTCATGGTGGGGATCACTCGAAGTAAAGTAATTTGAGCGCTATAGAATCAGAGCACGGTGTGAGTGAGTTAGGGCTAGAGTTAGGGTTAGAGTTAGAGTTAGAGTTCTAGGTGGTCCAACACCCTCGGATGAGAATTCTATTGAACCAGCGTCAGGCGCGCCAGCCAAATAGGCAGGTGAAGCTCTGTAGGACTCTTTTCATGCTGCTGGATTCTGATCATACTGGTCTCCTTGACCTGGATGAGTTTGTCTCGGGCTGCATGCAGCTTCACGGGCCTGCCAAGAGCATCCAGGCGCAACGCAAAGATGTGTTCAGTCACTTGCCCACAGTTCCGGGCTTAGCGACACATGATTTGATGATTGGCTCTGATCTGCGATGCTACAGGTTGCCAAAATGAGCTATGAGAACAAGCCACCCGGATCATGAAAACCGCGCTTAAAATCGGCAAGGCCCTTTTGCCATGTGGCGTTTCTGAGGCTCATCCGGTCAGCAATCAGAAGCTTGAGCAAGGCCTGCCTGCGTGGTATTTTCGAAGAAAGAAAGCCCGAAAGAAAGAAAGGAAGGAAGGAAGGAAGTAAGACCGATTTGTTGGTTGAAACGCAAAGATTTAAAAATTAACATTTCCCAAAACGAGGTCCCCGAGCAACCTTCTTTAATATTTTCTACAACATTTGCACCCCCAAGCAAAATCCGACATAAGAATTGGGATGGCCCGCCAATCAAGACGAGACGCAACAAAACCTATTGCTGCACACGCAGGTTGTTGTTTTTGTTTGCTAGTTTTGCTTGTTGCTGGTCCCCACAAGCTGGCGCGCGGTTCTTGTGATGGGCTGTACATACTCTCATGCCGCCTCCTGCACCTCTCACACAATCACCTGCTTGAGACAAGCACACACACCACCACCACCACCACCACCACCAGCCAGTAGGCAACGCAGTGAAGTCCACCCAGCGGTTTTTGATCCTAGGGATTCCAACGCAACTGTTGCAATAGCGGCAGCAGGACTCACACCCCTCTTGAAACCGGGAGCCTTGCGGAGCAGGCCTTGAGGCGGGGCGCCCCACGTCTTCTTTTTCGGACAGCGTAAGTCACGAATTTCAATTCTGCGCCTGTAACCTAGAAAATTTGCAACTCTCGAGGCAAGTCTGCAACTGCATCGTGAAGCCGTTCACTTGTCCCGTCAAATCGCTTGTTTTGCCGTGTCCAATTTGTGGCGGTTGAGACCGGTTGCACGGTGGCAGGTGCAAGTATGCCTCATGCATTTTGGTTCTTTGTTTTCTGGGGCCTATGCTACTCTGTTTCTCTATCCAGGCCCGGCAATTGTTCACCTGGACCTGGAAACCTGAACACGTGGAGCTTTGGGACTAGATTCTGGTCGCCGCCGTTCGCCTGAAACCTTGGACCAGTCAAAAACTTGCAACTCTGACACATACAGGTTTGACGCAACTTTTTGCCTGGAACGTCGTGACTTTGGAGTCCTGATCCCAGCACATTGTTTGCATTGCCCCTGCTCGTGTGCGTTGCGAAGGGCTTTTCTGTAGAAATCTTTTGCGTAACGCAGGGAGGCGCTAATACACTTGTTTGCAAATACATTTGCAACTTATACAGCTGTAGTTGGATGTATGCTACACCAGGTATGCTAGAAGTACATCTGCAGCTTGCAGGTATGGTTGTGTAGAGCTGCTGCTACGCCAGCGTTGCTTTGGGGCTGGGGCTTTGATTGGTGAGTTGACTTGGCGGATAACTTTCGCTAGCATTGCTTTGGTGCTGGGGTCTTGCTTGCTTACGTGTTGGGATCTTACGCAAAGTCAAGGGGTCTTGCCTAAGTAAATTCATATAAGCAAAAATAGGTACAACTTTCGCAGCGGTCTTGCTTCAGGAAACACATATGCAGAAAAGTAAACGCATGTTATAATATGGTTAAAGTCAAAAATATGTTTGTTCGCGCGCGCGTGATATATCTCGGCTATTTGTCTCTTGGGGCCTGGCCGATGGAAAGGGCTTGCGAACATGACCCTCTGCGGAAATCGCGCTTCGAGTGCTCAAATGTGTGGTGATTGTGAACTCTGCAGGGATCGCGCGTGTCGAGTGCTCAAACGTGTGGTGAAATTCGAATTCGGATTTGGTCCGAGGCGCCCCTCTGCGGAGATCGCGCGGGTCGAGTGCTGAAACGTGTGGTGGTTTGGCGTGGCCACGGTGAGAACTCTGTGGGCAGATCGTTCGTTTCAAGTGCTATAACGTGTGGTGAAATGCAAATTTGGCTGCCAAAGTGTGAACTGTAGGCGCCAAAGTGTGGAACTGTCGTCGCAAATGGCGCCGGAAGCTGGACGTTGGTAATGTAAGCGGTATCTGGGGTTGTAGGTTGGAACCCTTATGGATGGCAAGGGCGAACCCACCCGGTCCTGCCGGTCCGGCGTCTCAGCGATTGCGAGCTATCGTTGAAAGGCCTTGTGCGCGCGTAAACCGCTATCACAAGCGGAGAGTTCGACTGTTGGCAATGATCTCTTGTCATTGGTATGTCTCAGAAATTTTGCGCACACAAGAAGGAGGCAGTAGTGAAGGTTGTCAACGTGGAGGTGGAGGTTTGTAACTGTCGCTCTGGGAGCTGTGGCGCGAAAAGTGGCCAGTACAAATGTAGCGCGGGAAGCAGCTCTAAAACCTGCGGCCAAAGCTGGCCACTCGGACTTGGTAGTCCGGTAGTACAAATGTAGTGCGGGAAGCAGTTCTGGGGGCAGTACGGGAAGCAGCTCTGGCAGCGGCATCAGAACTGGCCACTTGGTAGTGCAAATGTAGTGCGGGAAGCAGCTTCTAGGAGGTCTGGCCTGAGAACTGGCCACTTGGTAGTGCGGAAACCGCTTCTAGGAGCGCTGGCCTGAGAACTGGCCACTCCATTGTACAAATTCCGTTTGTGATGTTGCTGTGCTGCGCGGTTTTGCGCAGCCACGGTGGAAAGTTCGTACGCGCTTGGCGGCGCCCATGATGCTGAATGTCACATTGTTGTATCCATGTATACAGTCTGCGGCACACTGCGTGGCCAAATTCCGTCGGTGATGTGGCTGTGCCATGCGGTTTTGCGCGGCAATGGTAGAAGCGGGTTTGCGTGATTGTCACTATTGTTCGTGCGGTTGTCCAGGACATTGATGCTATCAAGTATTGCCTTGGGCAGCTGCCAGCCCCCCTGCCCATGCTGGAGGAAACTGAGGATGCAACAGACGTTTCAATTTGAAGTGTCGGCACTTCTTTGCATTTTGTTCATGCAATTGTGCGGCCATTGGGTTTGGCAGATTCCTTCGATACCATGTTCCCGCCCTGGATTTGACCAGAAGCCCAAAGGGCCGGTCAAAGGTAGAACAGATTCAGCCTAGGCAACCTAGACTGCAAGGTCTTTACGGCCCCAATTTTGTCTCACTCCTAGCTGGCTTTCCAGATCTGGAGGCCAGCATCGACGCCGAATCGCCGACAACGAGCAAAGCGTAGTAAGCCAGGACTGCAACGTACGGGTTTGTGACGTCCTTCGAAAGAAACTATATAAGGGAGTAACCGTTTGCCCATAATGACTCCACATTCCTTACGACAACATGACGGATTTGCCTGCCAATGCTAGTGCAACTGCTAGTGTATCGGAGTTCGCGTCGGGAATTATGCAATCCAAAGCGCAACAAAACGCCAAATCTAGAAGAAAAAAAAACACGACAACTGTCAGAGAACCACCTTTGAATGATGCACCATGATTGGTTCGTTCAGCAGCACTTCCTGAAGCCTATATAGCCAGAAAAAATGCCTACAATGGATTTGCAGTGAATTCAGTCCATATCTTATATATTATGTTTGATTCAGTCCGCAGGCTCAAGCCCAGCCGAAGTTACGGAGCACTGAGATCAGAATTCGGAAACAACCAGAGTCTACTCACAGTTTGTTCGTCCAATCACTTGAGTGTGTGTGCGACCTCCGCTTGAAACACCTGGGAAACTTTGTGTACTTTATGAGTGTATTCTACTGAAGCCCGGTTCATTCACCAAATCCTAAAGCTACTCCCAGCTTTGTATTTGCAGCATTTCTCGGCAGGGTGCTATGAGCCTAACACCCAAATTTCCTGCCACCACAAGAAGGACCAGACACTTGTTAAGTAGTATATTTAATATATTTGGATGTGGAGGTGCTGATCTCAAGGCTTGGACTTGGCGAATGGAAACTAAAGAGTTCTGACTATTACTGAAGATGTTGAAGGATGTTGGAAACCATGAAACCAGAAGTGCAAATGCAATTTTTGCTCGCTGCAGGCTTCGTGGGTTTGGCGATGAAAGCTGAGCCGAAGAGTGCATCTGACAGATCTTCTATTTTCAATGGTCTCCATGCAGGAGCAGCCTCCATCAACCTGGAAGATGAAGACGAAACTGTGGGAACGACGCCTGTAGGAGGCTTGAGTGCGTTTCAGTCATGTCTTTCATGCAGAAACGCAGGGGGAACAAAGGTTTCGTTGCATTAGAAGATTGACGTTTCGCGATTTTAAAGGGTAGATTAACAATTTGCTTCTGTTTGGCGCTATGCACAAGAGAGCCCCTTTGCGTCATTGCTTCGTGAGGCCGCTCGGTCTCCCAGAGCTCAATCCTTGTTTTGCCGAATGAGCTGGAGGACTGTGCAGAACAGCTGAGAGGATTCGCCTCGACATATTTCCTTTGTGAGCGAAGCATGCCTTTGGCTGCTCGCACTGCTGACCGCCTTTGGAAACTCTCTCAGCTCGACCCCTGCCCCAAGCTTTTGGCTTCAGATGTGGCTGAGATGAGTTGCCGGAAGCTCTTGAACATAGCCAAAGATAGTTTTGAGCTCTTTTGGCAGCCTCAAAACTACGAACAATTTGCTCATGATGACCCTTCTAGTTTGCGCTGCCTTCGAGGCAAGGAGCCGGGCCCATTACTGTGCGTCCGCTACATTGGCCGTCGCGACAAACGCACACAACGCGTCCGACCCTCTGACATTGTCAGGTGCGAGCTGCAGTGCCGAAGGCGCTTGTTAGAGTTGCTGGGGCCAGAAAGCAAGGAAGCTGCCAGTGGAGTTGCCAGTGGCCCTGCGGACACGAATACTTTGGTGATAGCTCCAGTGGAGATCCCTGCACTTTCAGAGCCAAAAGCTGGCCCAGCAGCAAGGGCGGCACGGGCACAAGCAGCGTTGGATCGAATCCCAAACGTGTCGCGTGATCCTTCAACTATGGAGACGTTTGGTGGCATGGATTTGGTGGATGCTTTGAAGGAAGAGCCGTGGTATCGTGGCCAGGTGGTTCATGTGAATCAGACCGGTGCACGAAAAGCTATCTTTTTGGAACCCAAGGTGGCTCTTCAGCCTGTTCTCAAAGAGGTCTTGAACCGGTCCCTGTTGAGCGGCTCTTCAAGCTCTTCAGCATCACAGAGTGGCGTTTTGAAACTCTACAGCCATCAAGCTGAAGCCATTGATGCCATTCTGTTGGAACGGCGGGATGTGATTGTGAGCACTTCCACTGGCAGTGGCAAGTCGTTGATTTATATGATCGCCATTTTTGAAGCGCTACTCAAAGAAGAAGATGCCACGGCCATTCTGATCTTTCCCACAAAGGCCTTGGCACAGGACCAACTAAGAGCCTTGACAGATGTCGCAGATGCTTTGATCCAACTGGGGGTGCCAAAAGAGAAGCTGACCTTCGCCACATTGGATGGAGACACACCGCAAAAGGAACGACAGAAGATCCGAAGAGAGACACGGGTCGTTTTGACGAATCCAGATCCTCACCAAAATCCTGCAACAGTGTGCTATTGAAAGTGTGATGGAAATAAGATAATAAGATATATACATTGGATTTCTGGTGCTTTTGAACACTGGAACTTCACAGTGCAACAACAAGAGCACCCAGCTTAGAGATAACGGAAGAATGTCTATAGGGGAAGAAAGGACGGAAGAGAAACATAAAGAGAACGTGTCCTGGAGCCCTAGGACATGCTACACAGCCACGTGTTGCTGCAGCATGTGGAGTACGCCCATTTGCTGCACAACGCTCGCTATGTCGTCTTGGACGAGGCACGAAATGGAACTAAAGGTGCTCTAGAGCCAGCGCCAAGGAGTTCAACGATAGGTATCGGGGCAAATGCTCATTAAATGAATGAAGCGCATTTGGGCTCAGGTGGCCGGAGACACAATTCCAACAAGCCTGTCAAACTATCAGAATTATGTCTTGCAAGTTTGAATTTCAATCTCAGAAGCATCCTTGATTTGCCTTGAATATATCGCCCATGCTGGCCCATGCTTGCATGTTCCTGTTAATCCCAAGCATGAGAGGGAACTGCGATCCTGCAAATGAGTTCCTTTTCCATCCATGCAACGAGGCTCTAAGTGGCGTGTACGTAGGATGTTGATGGCTGAGAGTTTTCACATGCTTTCAACCTGCTGGGTGCAAAGAGTGCTGTCTTCAGCACCTCTTTGTAGGTTTCTCCATCCAAACTTGAATCGAATGAATCAGACATGCAGTTGTTCCATTCAGCAAATGAGTCCTTTTCAAAATTATCGTCATTTACTTTATACAAGGGCGTTTCATCCAAGAGTGTGATTTGGGGGTTTCTTTGGAGAACGATATGGGACGTCCAAAAAAAACGATACCTCTATTGTTACATGCATTAATAGTTCCTTGAGTATTTGGAGTTCATGTTGGTATGTCGTCCTGCTACAGCAACTCTTCTGAGCATTTGTGCTCAAGGGTCTGAATGAAGGGCATCACTTCATGAACTGGTTTGTTCTTGCAAGTGTCACAGGCAGCTAGGGATTGTGATTACTTGTGTTTGAAGGGCTGTGTCCTGGCTTTTGGCTCATGGGCTGGCCCCAGCCTATGAGGAAAGGCTAGGCTCTGGAACAAGGTGCACGCCTTTGTCCACCTGTCTTGGTTTGGAAAGGGGTTGCTTTCTCTTTGGTGTAGCGTGAGCGCAGCGCGTGTGCTTGCAAGAGCAGTTTGATGCCATAAAACACAATATGGCAACATCAAAAACAACACCCCAAACCGATACATACAGCGCCAATTCTACCAAGCACTGTAAAACGAGACGTGACGTCCTAACTTCTTGGATGAAAACAGCATAAGCAAGCAATTTAGAAAACATTTCAAGTCAGATGAACCACATTGGCATCGCACTGGGCTCACTTTACTTTGGCTACTCACTGTCCCCCTGCAGCTTTCCAAGCCTTTTTTGGCGCTGCAGGCCCACGTGTATCGGGGAGCTTTTGGCGCTCATGTTTGCAGCGTCATGCGAAGGCCTTTCCGCTTTGACCCCATGGCGATGTAGTCTGGGACTGTTTGGAAAAGTCGAAAAGCAGTAGCAGCATAGATGGGGTTTTGAGTTCTGTGGGGTGAGGCTCAGGCGCCTGGTGGAACCGAAGTCCTTGCAATTTATTGCCTGCTCAGCAACAGCCACTCGGCATGCCCTTTCCCTGAGAATGGGAGTTTTATGTTGCCTCTCGCCAACGCGATTTTTCTGTGTTGGATTTGTTGTTGAGCGAACTTGCTACTTGTGCCGGAAGCTGAGCTAACTGTATTCAATTTTCCTTTTGCGAAGCTCGTGCCAAGCTTTGGTCAATGATTGGTTTAGGTTGCTAATCCTGGAGAGCACCTTCAACGTCTCCTTGGGCAAGAGCCGCAAGTGGTCTCCAAGGATGGTTCACCCAGTGGCGGGCACATCTACGTCATGTGGGACCCGTTTTGTGGCGCCTGGGACAAACAAGAGCAGTCAGTTAAACAGCGCAGGTGTGGTCACCTCGCCAGGCGTAGAACAAAATACCATATTTACAGCTTTAGCATGCTAGGGTGTCCACCTAGAATTTCGAGGCATTGTTTTTTGAAAAGGCGTTGAAAAACATGCGAGATGTCAGTGGGGCAAGTTATATTTCCCGTCATTACTTGCATAATCAAGAATGAACTTTGACGGCCACATTGTCGGGCACAAGGTTGCAAGGAGCAAACGCAAGTTGTGTCAAAATGTTGAATGAGACAGTGGTGCAACCTGTGCTGCATGCAACCCTTGTAACGGTTGACCTCATGACCATGGCAGTGTGCCTACTTTGCACGACACGATGCTTTGGCGGTCAAACTTCACAATTTACAGGGGCCTGATCGTCCAATGCTACGAGGTTTTTCTCTTCTTGCTGCCTGTAGGGCATTTGTTTGGTCATGTGGAACTGACCAGGAACTACGTGTCTCTGCAAATAATGTTCTATATAAATGAGCCGATGTCAATTTACAAACTCTAATTTGAGCAGGTCCAAGCAGAACATGTTCGAGCGATTTTTTCGGAGCCGTAATTTGCTGCTACCACGCCCTAGCTCAGGCCAAGCTCAAGTGCCTCAAAGCAATCCCCCGGCCAAACGGCTGAAGGTTGACGAGGTGGAAAATCAAGCTTGCAAGCTGCATTGTGGAACATCATAATGATCATGGCAGATGCCTTCATCATTGTGACATGCAAGTGGCACACGTTGCTAAAATGCAAATCAAGCAGATATTGGCAAACTATTGCAAAGACACGCCGCCTTACAAGAATTGCGTGAGGACGCAAACGTTTGTGCAGCAGTCGATGGAGAGGAGGTGAGCAGCGTTCTAAATTCACCCTTTCTTTTTAGTCAGGGACCGGCGAAAAATCAGTGAACATTGTGATTTTAGCTGATGCTTGTAAGGTGTCCGTAAGGTTTGTAAGGATGTGCAGACTTGAACGATGCCGGAAGGCTACCGGAAGCGACACTTGTTGATTTGTCCTTTCTTGTTTTGCAACAACATTTCATAATATGTGACCATAGTGGACTTGCATACCTTCGCCGTAAGCACAATGTAAGAATAGCCATGCATACATGTGTCACTGTAAGCAAAAGATAGAAGAACGTAAGCTTTGCGTAAGGCCTACCGTAAGGTTTGATTTCTCGGCAAGAAAAGACACAATTTTGAACACCGCTCAGGTGAGTTGAAAGGTTGTGTTGTGAAGGGTTATCGAGGAATCATGCAGGCACGGTCTTGTCGAGAAAGGCTTCCATTGCGATCATGATCAGGGCATTACAGCATCCAAAAAGATGACAACAGCATACAAAAGCGTGGTGATTTTTCTCTTTGTTTCAGCGTCGCTTGAGGAGATGCTTACTTCAGCCCCGCAGCTTGCAGCGTCGCCAATCGTGGAAGTGACACGGCTGCTAGCTTGGCTCGTTTCCCGTGGCTTGGTTGGATTATTTGGCTTGGTCAGAGTGCTCTGATATCCGATATCCACATGACACGGCTTGGTCCTGCGTATGTTCGTCTCAGCAATTCTCCAAGCATGAGAACTTGTGAATTGCGTTTCTTGAAGGCAAGAAGAAAACCGAGTAGCCGCATAGGTGGACACCTACCTACCCCAGAAGACGAAAGAAATAGAAGAGAGAAACGCAATGACGGCCATGAACCGGCAGCACGCCAGACCAGGAAACCCACATGACGTCATTTGCATCAATTGTTTGTATATCATTGCATGTCCAATCGACTCGCACCATGCACACATGGTGCGCATTTATGATCGAAGCCCGGCCGCCCTGGCTCCTTTTTCGACCGCACGATGCCAACTTCTAGAACGGATGTGCCAAAGAATTGACCATTCGTGCTCAGCTTCCATGCGTGGTCTGGTCCTCGTCAGACAATGCTTGGTTGAGCACCCAGTGCTTCACTCCCAATCACGGTAACCAAGCGCAATTTTGGTGCGTCATCCCCTGCTATGTTTGCGCTGTATGATGCACATCCACCACACCGCAATGATCAGAGCAGTTTCAAAGAAGCTCCCTGTTTTGAGCTTTTGCTTTAGCCTACTGGCTGAAAAGGTCCCGTCAGAATCGCCTGTTACCCTGGTAACCCATGAAAAAGAAATGGTGATGCTACCAAGCCGTTTGCATTTTGCACACTGCCACCTCAGTGCTTGTAGGACTGGGCTGCAAAGTGTGGCTAGGGTGAACGGGTATATAATTGATTGCGAAGGCTCAAGCACACAATTGGGCCTGCTGGGGGCGCGATAAGCCAGCTAATGCGGGCGTCAGGGCAGGATCAGTGTCTTCCAGAACCTTCCAAAAAGCGGTGACAGAGGTCCACGGATCAATAATTAATCTTCCAACACCTATCATCAATCCACTGCACAATTCTACCCTTCTCGACTTTTGACCTCTCTCACCTGCCGTCTGATCAACCGCCTGGTTCATCTGGTGTTGCCAAAGTTCCAGTTAACTACGTACCATGGATGGCCTGAAGTTCCTGCCAGTTCTTTTGAGGTTTGGTCCAAGAGAAATGCATGTGGGCTGTCCTGGTTCACACCTGCGGGGCATGTTGAAGAGGAATCCACATGTCATAGTTCCTGGAACTTCGAGGCGCTTGCAATTCGATGTCCATGCTGCAGAATACAATTATCGATACTTATAGCACATCAAGCGGTCACACGGATGCTGCTGTTCGCCCTGCCAAAAGTGGTGCGTGCTAAGTTTCGCACTTTGTGCAGCTTTCAATGCCTTTCATTCGGCACGCGTCGAGGCAACGTGTCATGCTTGGCATTTTGCAAGTGGCGCAGTTTGGTGGAGATTGTGCTTCAAGACGTGAAGGACGCCCTGAGCCAAAGCGAGGCGCAAAGATGCAGAGTTGAGTTCAACGACCGGAAATTTGGGGATAAGGTCGTACGGTATAGTCCCCATGATGCTGAGCAAAACCCGCTGTAGATTGCATTGCTGTTATAATTCCATGTATTTGCACTATGAATATTCTTATGTTCGATTCTCGCGTGCGTCCTGGAGTGCATACCCTGTATAGGCCAAAAAGCTCTGAACTAAATGCCACCATCAGTGGGAAAAGGACTCAACGGTGCGAAAGCGCATTCTATTGGGCCGTGGCAATGCCACAAACACTCCTGTTCTTAGTCAATGACCCGCCTCTCCGCCTTAGCCTGTTATTAGTCCTAGGGAGGCACTGTGAGGGTGCTTACTGTAGAGCTGCGTTGGGGCAAGCTTTCCGTGTTTTGGTATGATAAGTAACTTGTAGCGAGTGAACGTACCCTTCAGTATTAGTGGGGTATGTTGGTTTGAAAGAAAAAGGTGCCTTTAGTTTCTTGCGGGTGTGCAATGAACCCTTGAAGACAAGACGGCAAAATATACAAGATCCCCCTTAGCCTTGGCATCCCGAGACAAGGCAGCCCAGAGCTGCTGTGTAAACAGACCATTTCGGGAGCCGGAATTTGGGCTCAACCCCCAGGACATTTTGAGTTGCACATCGAAGAACAATGTCAGAATGCTTGCCCAGTGAAGAAGGAATAGCTGTCTGTGAGAGTCCAGCAACACGAGAAAAACGCGCAGTATATATACTGTAGATAGACATGAAGCCGCCATGAACCTACAGAAATATCCTTGCGATGAAAGGTAAATTCAATGACAATATGCACCAACATAGATCTTATTTGGCAGAACGGCATAGGAGGTGGACTGCAGCTAGTTGATGTTGGGATTACCCCTTAGGTCCTTGACGACGTGCGAGGAATCATGCTGCATAATGATGAGGTCCAATCAATCCACCAAGTCACCAAGAACGGGCAATGAGTGCGTTTGTTTACAAAGTGCAGGTACGCTAAGGAGACTCGTCAAGTTATTTTGGACTGAACATATCCGCACGCAAATGATCACAGGAGAAGTAGCACGTGGGCAAGCCACGGGTGGGAGTTCTTAAGGAGAAATGATAGAGATGCCGACGACTGACCTATAGATCAGCAAGTATCCGGTGCACAGCTGCAACGAATGGAAGCATCGCATCATCGCGCCTTGTTTACCTCGCTCCCCTGCGATGTTACGCAGTGTCACGATGTGTCACCTGATTCTCGCACCCTGGTTCTTGCTCGCGGCCTTGGTGTGGTTCACAAATGGAGGGCATTGCATGGGTGCATATTCGAAGGGACAGGTACCTCAGGCAGACAGATGAAAGCACAAAGTTGCAAGATGAGTTCCATAAATTAAGGATTCACAAGTAAGGACGGATCGCTTTTGCCAGTCCAACTGATCGCATGTAGCTGCAGCATTTGTATCTTAAGCTTTTCCATTTCTTGGCGCAAAACTGGGGCAAGAAATTGATTTGCCGAGGCGCCCGAGTTGAGCAAGCGAGTGGTCTCATATCGTGGAGGGTACCCACCACACCTCCGGCGTCAACTGGAGCAAGACATTTTCCGCCGGAAAGTCTTGGGTGTAGCTTGCACAAATGCTTTAGAGCTTGGCATTGACATTGGCAGTCACTCAGGCTGACAGATACGCTTCTTGTGCAGTTTTCAATGTTGTCCCCTTGACGAGGCTCAGAATATGGATTTTTGTTGTCGTTCCCATACAATTAACGTGTAAAACAAAATGTAAAGACGACAGCCAACGATGAAAGCATTCTTTCATTGCTCGGATGCACTTTCTCGGATCGCCTTTGACATTGACATCACTCTGCATTTCTTCAAAGATACTCCGAAATCGTCCAACAACTGCGCCATTGATTAAGGAAAAAGAACCACCACCAACTACCGGGTACTTTGAACTCGTGTTGTGCATAGGAGGGGGCATGTTCCAAGTTTCCACGCCCCTTTGCTTTACTTTTTGTTGTTCACACGGTTCTATCTTAGGAAGAACATGCGTTGTCGAAATCCAATGTATGTTGCGATTCTAACTGTGTATGTTACTGCAATTCTGTTCATGTCTTTTTCTCTTTTCATTTTCACGTCTACTTTTGACCTCGACCGAGGGCTGGACTGTACCCTGTCCTTCGGCTTCCCGGGCTCGGTGGCCTCCTTGCGGCAGCAGTTCGGCCGTGCTGGGCGCAACGGGCGCTTGGGCATCTCCTTCTACGTGACGAGGAGAAACATGAGGACATGTGAAGCCAATAAACAATGTGCTTGGTGAAAGATGGTGTTATTATGTTTTTATACTGATGTTTCGACAGAAATCATTCTTGGGGCTTTAAGGAAAGGAAAGCAAAGGCAAAGTTTAATAGGATGCGAGGCTCCTTTTACATAGGGGAGCTTCTCCAGAACGAACACTACTTATACGAGGGGAAGGTTCCCCGACTTCTGTGGAAAGTATATAGCTCGCTTTAATTATATAGGTGTTTTGATTAATCCTCAATTGACATTCATCAGTGTTGACTTGGAATAACTAGGTCCACCGCCCATAACGGGCCGTGGTGCGAAAGGACAATTCTGATCACCGTGATTGGAATGGACGTAATTAGCTTTGGGGAAGAGTGTTCAGTGTGTTTCAAGGATTGGATGGCGTAATTATATTGAGAAACAATTGTCTTGTGCAATTCCCAGTAGAATTGACACCTCAACATTCAAATCAAGTTGCCCCTAACTATCAAGTGTTTGTAAGTTTTTAGGGCAAGCTCCTGTTCAAACCTTCTGCTTTCAGGCTCCGTGTGCTGTCGGCAATGTTTTCAAAGCTGAGTAGAATTCTTTTGGTGCAGCATGCATCACAGATTGTCGGAAGACAAACTGAAAGATTATGTCTTTCAATGCTGGGTCAAGCTCACACTGACGGGAAATGTGTTTCCCAGCAATCGTTTCAATTCCAGCCACAAACGGTCTAGAGTCTAGAACTTGTGTTCCAGCATCCATATGGAGATGGATGTTCCGAACAAAAGCCTTTTGGTGACACACCGACTCAAAGCACAACCCAACGCCGAAGCAGTGCTGGGCCAAGCAATGATGATGTTTCCGAGCCGCTGGCAGGCCATTTAGCGAAGACACGGTATTCACAAACAAACAATCCTCAAATCATGCATGATCACCACAGAGTTAGCCGAAACCCCAACACGACGAAGCTCTGCGCACAATCCACATACTTACTTGTGCTTATCGCATACTCCGTTCATTTTGCCCTGAGTTCAGCGTGTGCTACTGTAACTTCCACATGACATGTACCATAACCAAGGGGTCACCGCAATCCCGAGTCAAGCCATCTTTACATTGATCTAAAGACAACACGTTCACCGACCACAATGGTTGTAAACAACAAAAACCAGGAGGACAAGACACACCGACCAACCGAAACAACAACACTAGAACACACATGGTCGCGACTTCTTGTGCTTTCATGTACGCCGTCGGCAATGCGGCAATGCAAGAGATGACAAAACCCATGGAAAGGCCATGAAGAACAAAGCACATCCCTGACACATGCGCATGAAAGGAAAGCAATTCACGAGGAATCTACAAACATTGAAGGACCATTTGTAAGTACTTTTCCGGGGAACACTCCGTGGTTAAGAAGATATCCTGCATCCACAAGGAACCTTATTTTCCCAGCCCCACCCGCCACCCCAGAACCCATGTTTATCACACAAAAGATCGATGACGTGTCCGAAAAAGATCAAAAACACCACGGCCCGTTCTGGGAGGTGTTCCAACTACATGGAAGGGAAACCTGAGTGAGGGCTATGACAGGGTACAAATGTTTCATAGTGTTTCTTTATTTTCGACTGTTGGCACAAATGCTTAAGCAGATTTGCTGTCATTGTTGATGCCACCCGTTGAACCCATCTTTGCTTCTCAAGTCCCTGCCACTTTTTCCAGTATTTGCCGTTTAACGATAAGGTCTGAGTGGCACAAATGGGCATCGATCTAAAGGTCCATGAAAGGAGTTTCATATGGAACAGCCATTTCGGTTACTAAGTACCAACCGGGCGAAAGATCGCGAAAGTTAAACACAGGGTTCGCGAAAGTAATCTTTTTTTTCGCGAAAGTTCATGTAACCATGTATGTTATTTGTAGGTAAAGGGACCCTTATTTGTTTGCTTACTGTGATCTTTTCAGACCACCAGCTGTGATGTTGATAACAATATGCCTACATCATGCGATATATAGTTTTCCTTTAACTACTTTTTATACCCATGTACCCGAACTTCTTCTGAATATGTAAGATCATACTTCGCGAAAGTTCGCGAAAGTTAAACATGGGGTTCGCGAAAGTAATCTGTTTTTTCGCGAAGAGGCACTTTCCAGATGAAAGGAATTTAGATCAACCACCAAATCTTGGACACCTCCTTTTCTTGACTTTGCTGCTGCCGTTCCTCGCCGCGTAGTGAATCTGTCAATGGTCACACTATATGTTCAGACCTTGGTGCAAATCATGAACCTCTGATGCACCATGTCATGGGTCAAAGTAGACGAAAAATCCTTGCAGGATGTCAGAAGTGGAAGAACACCAATAAGCTAGATTTCGAGAAGGACCCCGTGGTTGTCAATCCATGCACCCACCAACCTGACATGCACATTAGGGAAGTCATTGCCAGTTGAAGGTCAAAGGCGATTTGTCGATGCAAGGCTAGCGTGAAGAAGCTTTGCCCTCCCCAATCGAGCACCTGTGGCTGGTTGCGAAATTTGTCCAAGGACTGACCTTGCAAAGAGGCACTTTGTGGCTCAGCGTGTGCAGAATTCTGCCGCGGCCACCCAGAGACACGCAAGACGGCCCCAGCTTGGCAGGTTCCACCACTTTGCCAATATGGCATCCGTGAAGGAGCTCCAGAGAGCCCTCCTCTTCTGTGTCATTGAGGCCACCCCCAGTCTGGTCACGGCATGTGCAGAACGAGACCTTCCCATGGTTCTTCCATGCTTTTCCCTTTCCTGCGGCCGCCCATGACCCTGGACTTGCAGGACAAGTTCAGAAGCGGGTCTTCAGCATCAAGCTCTGGGAAAAACTCACCGTGGGATAGACTCCTCCCACTCCCACACGGACTTCCACCAGTTGTCACCTTTTCGGCTTAACTCAACCTCATTAAAGGACGCTCCTCAGCAGTGCTCCCTGGCAAGGCGACTCCATCTCAATGCCTCTATGAGTAGAGTTGAGGTGGCCCCCCAAAAAAAGGTATCATCTCTCACGTCCATTTTGCACCATAGCCCGCCCCGCAAAGAGAAAGCACATCTGAGATGACCGGTTGGACTGTGTTGGCACTGGGTGAATGGCACTGCCGCCTTGCCGGTCAACCACAAACATCCCCCAACGTGGCGAATGTTGACGTCCAGGGGCCCAGGGGAGGTCCGAGCAACCGGGGAAGCCTCAACGCAAGACAAAGGAAAACGTTTCTTGATTCGTTATTGGGAACAAGAAGCTACTAGGGGCTCCTGGCATCGCTACTAGGAGCAAGGACGCTACTAGGGGCTCCTGGCCTTACTACTAGGAACAAGAAGCTACTAGGAGCTTATTTCACCTTGCTGTTGCTTTAGCCGGCCATCCATCGACACTCCCAGTTTGGGCTAGCTTGGCTCTTCAAGAGGAGGTCACGAGAAAGGTGCAAGATTAGTATAATATAAGTAGGTGATATACGGCGGTGTTAGTTATCGGTTTTGTTTGGACTGTCCTTACTACAGTGTTTTTGTGGTTCGTCGGAATTGGTGGCTTTCTTTCTTGGTATATAGTATGCCTTTTGCGTTCATTGCAGTAACTTCTTGGTTTGCACCAAACACAACCTTTCAAACAAAGCACTTAGGGTGCACCCACGCTTGCTCAGCTCAGGTGGCCTTTGAAGACCCTACAGACCAGCATTTCGTGCGAAGACCACGTGAGTTGTTGGCCGCTTCGTGCGAAAAGCATGCTGACAGCTTAGGTGGTTGTAGGATGGGTTCAGAGATCTCGTCGCGTGCTGAGAATCCGAACAGTTGCGCTTGGACATTATTCATTATGGTTGCATGGTCCTCCACAAGAGATACTGTATCCAGCTGAACTCGAATGTTGGCACAGTCATTTGCACAAGGCTCTTGAAGCAGTGCCCGCAAAATGCCCAGCAGCCTCTCCAAGCTGATTCAAAGCAATGTTTGGGGACTCTTGAGCCGATGCAGCCACCAAAAGAGTCAAAAGAGGTCGTTTTCCACTATAATAAAGGGACCCGCGGTTTCAGCCTGCTTTCCAATCGATTCGAAGTTGGCACCGGTTATATACCGTCACCAGAAGCAAACCTACCTCGTTCCTTTGGAAGCCTATTGATTTGGCGGGTTAGTGAATGTTGGCGGTATGAGATGAGGCCCGGCGACCTGAAGCCGTGGCCGTGTGGCCATCCAACGCCGCAGTTCTCCAAGCACAACTGCCTTGTGCAGCGGCTGAGCGACCTTTGGAGGAGGCTGACCAAAGGCTCGTGATTTGTGATACTGGGTGCGGTGTTTTTTAGTGGCAGTTTTAGTGGCTTCCCATGTTGTTCATATGATGCAGATGTTTGCTCTCTACCATTGTATACTCACCCTCTAGTTGCGCACGATCCAGTGAGACGCGGCAACGGCATATGCGTCACGCAGGCGACATATGCATAGACAGACTATACAGCGAGCAACGCTCGAACCCCAAGGGTCAGGACTCCACAACAACAAAAGGTGTCTTCCACGACTCAGTCGTGCGACCGGCACCAGCTTGGAGAGCTAGTGCCAAAGTAAATAAAATGGAATTGGGCATGTGAAACGAGGCCCCAACAATAGCGCCTTGGCATAGGACCTTCCCGGTCGATTTCGCAAAACCAGGTTGCATTTCTCCAGGGTACGGTTGGCAGGTTGGATCTTTAGCAAGCCACTGGAGACACTGTCGGATTTGCCATTGTATACGTATGTGGTGACGGGGGTGCTATATTTGCATATTGTAATGCATTTGTCACATTAATCATTAATCAATGCGATTGTCATTTGGAGGGTTCAAACCACAGAAAATCTTGGGAAAGAACGCTCTTCTTTGAAGGCGGAGGGTGGTCAGAAATATCAAAAGCATATTGCAAACATTTGCAAGTACGAAAGGAACCGGATTCTGGTACTCTTTGATAAGTGGATGCGGGCGATGAAGCCACATTCGACCTTTCGCATCTCCAAAGTTCCACCCTATGCCACAAACATCAGCAATTGCAGAAGCTACTAGGGGCTCCTGGACTCGCTATTAGGAGCAAGGACGCTACTAGGGGCTCCTGGCCGTAATACTACGTAGTAACAAGAACGCTACTAGAAACAAGATGCAAACAAACAGCAATTGCGTATTCCGGTTACGACGTCCACGCAGTGGTGCAAAGGACGAATTGGGCCCTCCTAAAAGACCGCGCAAACAAGCCGCCACTCCCAAGATGCGCACAATACGAGTATTGGGCATATTGGGCATGGGTAGGACCTGTGGTTTCACAGGGGAGCGCAAACAAACTTTATCTTGGACTTGCCTCCTGTGAGCACTGTCCCTCTCCACAAACAAGTTTTTGCTGCATGTACAACATCATTTGTGCATGATCACTTGATTTGTTTGCAATTGGAGACTGCTGCACAATTCTAGAAAGGTTGGTTTTTTCTTTGGTGGGGTATCATATTGTTTCTGGTCCATGGGTGTTTCCGTGGTTTGGCTTTGCGTTTTCCCCATAGCACTCATTCGTTATGAACCGAATTGCGTGCAGTTCTTCGATGTTCTTCGTGCGCGTTTGCACCAAGGGTCGCGGAACCTGGTCCTTTCCATTTCGTTCAGCAACGCGAGGGTCTCATCTCATGATACCCAAGTTCCCAAATTGTTGGCCACTTGTTGCACTGTTGCACTTGTGCGGACTTGGCAGATGCACCAATAGACGATTTGCAGGTATTGGGAGTCTTTGGATGATGCGGGTCGTGATCCTTGGAAGACCGCCGTGCAGACGCTGAGCCACGCAATTATCGAACAGTGACTATTGAAAGCGTTCTTCGGTGTTGTATAGCTGTGCCACGTGCTGCAAAGAATTTTGAACAGATTGATCCAATAGAACTTTGATTTTGTAAGATGTTATCAGCCCGGAGCCCTTCGGCTTCTAGGTGTTCTGGTCTTCTGACTGCCTTAGGAAATGTCTCACCAATGGCACTTTGGAGCTCAGTCAGCAGCAACTGGTGCCTGGGCGGCAATGCAACGCACGTCCTGGTGGTCCACATCGTGCAGTGAGCATCCGAGCTGTGGAGGACGAAAGCAAAAACTCCGTAATCAAAAAAACGCGCATTCGTCTTTTGAGTTAATAGGAACGGCCTCCCCCTAATAGCGGTTGCCTCCACCCTATATAAATGTGTTGCAAATGCGAAAGCGTCGGCAATGTCCGCTCTAGTGAAAGCAGGGCCGTCCACCAGAAACCCACCGAGCCAAGCGCCAAAATTTGTTCAGTGAGTGTGTGTGTGCGTGTGCGCCCCTTGTGCTTCTTGCATGTGAGTGAGCATCTGACACAATTACGTAGGACGATGCGCAAGCAAAATAGTCCAACCTTGCGGATCACATCACTCAGAAACAGACCCCGAACCCGTGGTGGACCGTCCTGCTAGAATCTCCAGGCATGGCTGCTCAGTTTAAATTCCGTGAGGCTTGTGCACATAGCTGAGTGTGGCAGATGATGCATGCCCACACGCGCACAACAGAGCCCAGCCACATACCCCTCAGACACTTCACCGGATGTTGTTGAAGTGCTAAAAGACCTTTTCGCAGAACCACTTCGAAGTGCTGGAAGAAGTCGAAGCTGGCGGCGGCTTCGAAGATGGCGGGTTTCTATCGCAGCCCAGGCCGCACGGGCCGATAATTGTGGATATTGCTGGCTAGTCGGCAAACATGTATTCAGCAGACTGAGTTTTCTTGTTTTACTGTTGCATTTCGAGCGCTTGTTTAATTCCCGCCCGCCCTTTTGAAAAGACTTTGTTTCACACAGTGCCGACCAGCTTTCAGCCGTCTTTATAATCCTCTTCCTCTTCAAGTGTACAGTCAATGCATCGTTAATGAGATACTTTTACCCTTGGGGCCATCAGCTACCCAAGATGGCTCACAGATCAGGCATGAAGGGCGCACTTTTCGCAAATTGGACGAGATTGAAGTCTCCAAGGCATAGCTATGGTGCTTGTTTATAAATGTTTTGTCTTGAGTTTGGGCATATGAGTGCGGGTGTCTATCGCTTGAGGCCTTCTATTACCTGCATCCCGGCGCCGTATACCGCTACAGGGGCAATGAATATTTTGTTTTGGAGCTCGATGTTGTGAGGCGCAAGGCCACTGTGAAGAAAAGCGAGGTACCTCTTGCATATTACACAAGGGCTTTTGATTCCACGCAGGTGCGAATTTTGACCCGTGAAAAAGAGGCCATGTCAGGGAAGGCCAAGATTTATTGTGGGGAGATGGAATTGGAGAGCCGTGTGAAGAGTTTCAAGAGGTTCTGGAAGTCCCGGGACGTGCCACAGGAAGCGGAAGTTGAGGTGAGTTTACCCAGCTGGGGGTACACTTCTCGTGGTTTGTGGTTCGAAGATCCGCTGGGTGTGGCAAGGAGGCCGGGGCTCTTGGCTCCAAAGCAGCAAGAAGAATGGACCTGGGGTGGTGGCTGGGCTGGCGCACACGCTGCCATGCATGCTCTTCTTCGCGTGGTGCCCTTGTTTGTATTGGCTGATCGGCAGGACTTAGATGCAGCATGCGTTGATGAGCATGGCTTGCCGCCAATGGACCATCCGAGACTCATGATTTTTGATGCCAAAGATGGTGGCCTGGGCTTGTGCGATGCCGCTTTTCTACATGGTTTCGCGTTGTTGCGTGAGGCTAGACGTTTGGTGGAAGATTGCCCTTGTGAGGATGACCGTGGATGCGTGAATTGCATTATCGATGCACATTGCCGAGAATACAATCGGCTCTTGTCGAAACGTGGAGCCTTAGAATGGCTCCGAAGCTTAGAGTTTGGAGAGGCCACCGGAAGTACCGAAGAAAAAGCAACACCGAACATGGAAAAGCTTCACGCCTTAGATTGTTTGGCATGTGTGCCATGATGTGCCATGTCAATGCGCAGAAATGCGTTATTTTGTTCTTCGTTTGGTTGTGTTTTTTAATAATTATATATTTGTGTTCGCTGGTGGGACATTCTCGTTGTAACCTTGCCATCCTTTGCCTTTTGCATCCTTTTGCTTTGGTGCTGTTGTCGGATAGCGGTCCAATTCACTCCACTCATTCTGGCGAGTATCGGTGTTGGTGTTGTGTATTTCCACCGTGTGGATTTGCCTATATTACACGATGAAGTCCCTCAACCTTTCATTTTACTGCCGTAATCTATTTGCTTCGCGCACCCTACATTGCTCCAAGTATCTCCAAGTCTAGTTTGTTCTTTGTCGTGCTTCCGCCAGCTGGTACTCAACCAGGATTGCAATGCCACATCAAGTGCATGCGTGATCCCGAATCAAGTCCGATTGGTTCTCTATATAATTATATGGAAGGTCTTGTCAGCTCCGATCGACAAAACCCAAGACGATGCCTCTTCGATCCTCTTTGTATGTTTGATGTCGTCAGTGATTGCAAGTGGTACTTTAGAAGGGTTGTGTACTTATCGTCGCAGCCTCTCAGCCTCAAGATGTGTGATGATGTTCTGGGCTTGTTGGGTGCCACGTCTCTTTTTGACAGTGATCGCTTCTTGTTTGAATTCGTTTGCATGGTCAGATTAGAATCACGAAGTGGGCGGTCAAGGTATGAGCCCGCATGCGCGCACAGAGAGAGAGAGAGACAGAGACAGAGACAGAGAGATTTCGTGTGCCTACCAATTTAGCATAAGTTTCCGCCCATCCCCTGCCCCACCCTAATGAGGCTGTTCGGGAAGATGATGGCCAGGTATTGCTTCAGCATCAGAAACTTGGCCAGTAAAAAAAAGACACACAAAAAAAGGCAGGCTTTCAGCAAGACGGGAATAAGCCCAGGGTCAGCCTCTTCAGATGGATCAAGCAGGTTGTTTGCACTTCGGCTTTTTGACAAAAGCTGGCACGATTGACCAGGGCAGCACAGCTGGCATATTTCTTTCTGCTCCAAGTATGCACAGTCCTTGTCAGTGCTTCTTCCAGAAAGAGCAGTGCCAAAATATCATGTCAACTTCAGACTGCCCTTGACATGAGGAGGCAGGGCGCCGCGTGCCCTGCTGCTGTACCCTGGCCTTGCACGGACCATCAGCGTTGTCGCTTGTTCACGTCAGCCGTTTGAACTGGAACTGTGGAAGGGTCGGAAGACTCATTCATCCTTGTTTCCGAAGGGTAGCAGCAGCAAGGGGTTGCAACCCTCAAGAGCCAAAGGTTAATGGGCAGGTTGTCAACTGAGCAAGGTACCTGGTAACTGCCCGGTACCTGAAGTTAACCTATTGGTAGGGCGCACTTTATGAAAACAAAGGTTGAATGCAAACGTGGTCGACCTCCTATCCGTGTCAGACAGGGCTTGACTGTGCTGGACAGGATTGTTAAGTCAACTTTGTGTTGGACAGGAGCTGACGGGGGAGAGGGAGAGGGAGCACAACACTCCAGGACGTCACCATAAGCCGCTTTCCATTGCAACAGATTAATTCCGCTGGCAGCAGCAACTGCGCTGGTGGGACAGCTGCACCCTGGCATAAACACGAGGTCAATCCACACATCCAACAAGAAAGAAGATGACCTTCATGCAGTGAATGCTTAACTGTTACAAGTGCATCATTGTCATCACCCTTTTGAACTGTGCCTACTTGCCCCTCAACATCCGTTCTCACAAAGTTCTTCAAGCAAGAATCGTGTTTCGGATCTTCACCATGGCACCACAGTCGCAGCGCATTGCCAGGATATCTCGCGCTTGGATTTGGACACGGGTACGTACGAGACACTGTGCACTGTGCCGGGAATTTGCCTCAATGCATGTTCCCTCAGTGATGCGCCCTGGCACTTGACAATGTCAGTTTTGTAAGGTTCTTTGCAATTCGGCATATTATCATGCATCCATGCAGTTTTGCATGTATCCATATATATATTTATATATTAATGTAATTTTTGTATGCCAATTCAGCCCAAGCAGAAGCGTTGCTTCTTCCTGGTGCTAATGATTTCTGCACTCGCTGATCTAGCTTTGCCAGTTGGGTGTTGATGGGTTTCCACAGGGCCCGTTAGCTGCTGTTAGCTGAGGTCGACCGGAACATCTATTGCCAAGCCATCACCAATATCGGAAGGCAATTTGTGCGCATTGATTGCCAGATCCTGAGACTGTCTTTTTTTGGGCGCTAGCAACTAGAAAGGCGCAAAAGACTAAGGCTATTCAAGTCTAAACATGAATCTCTCCTCAGCATGGACTTCTTGAGTTGGTGTGGGCATTGTCTTCGAACCAAAACTCCCTCTTGCTGGGAGCAGAAATGCACGCATCGATGTATAAAACTTATATGATTGTGGAGCAGTTTGCACGACATGACAGAGCTTAGGGCAGGAATGGTTGGAAAGGTTCCTGTTTCTTGTGAGTTGGAAAGGTTTCTGTTGTGCTACAGTGCCTTACGCAAACACATGCAGCCAACATTGTGTTCAAGTCTGCAATCTCTTTTGGTCAAATGGTTGAAAGCTGTTGGGTTGGATCCGGCTGAAGTGCTCCGCTCAGGTCCAATTCCTGTCGATGGACAGACTGAAGTGGTCACAGGGTCCGTGTGCTACTTTGGCGAAATTCGCTCGACCTTTGCTGCTGGATTTGATCCAGCAAGTGGAGCTTACTACTACAAGGCGAGAATTTAGAGCGAAGCAGGTTCGCTGGAGTTGCACATGGCTCACTGAAATGGGTGTTGTAGCCTTGAGGCCAGAACAAACCCTAAAGAATACGAAAAGGCGTAAGTATACGCTAGCCCATGAAGCCCGACTGCGGCTCTATTTGACCTTTCGTTCATTCTACGGGCACAGACCGCAAAAGTTATTCTAAGTCGGTCCAAAGCAAAAGGGCTGGATGTTCTAGCAGAAGTTGTAGCATGAAGGGAGGGATATAGAGACTTCACAAGCTTATAAGTTTGGCTCGACTTTTGCTACTAAGTTACTAAGTGTTGCTTTGACATTGTCATGCGTTTTCGCAGACCAATGGTGGGGCCATCTATGAAATCACAAGGGCAGGTGACTTGCTTGCATCTAGTTCTGCAAAGCTTTCACAAAGTGAATAGGTTATTGTATGCGGTGCTGGGCGAAAAGAAGCCTTGGTGCTGTATGTCAATGTCCATCTCACTCTGTGCAAGCAACCCTTGCAGCATCATCAAATTGTGGTTGACACCCGACAATAAGGAACCCCAAGGAAATTGTTTAAAAGGTTCATTGTCAAAGCCACGGAATGCCTCCTCGCACTACACGTTATCATGCTTTATCCAACTTGCCACTGCGTACATATGCCCAAATGTATATTATATAGATATTCACATAAATATATATATATATATTAGATATTAGATACTTTGAGAAATTTCGTGTCGGTCACCGGACTTGGTTTTGCACATGGCATGACACGCTGTGTACCGCGGCCAACTAGGCCTTGAGCTAATCTGCTACCGGAAAAAGGTTAGCAGTCGGGCGTCCTTTCGTTCGAAGCCATTTCGTTCGGTCTGGACCCTACGATTTCCGCAGTGGTTGCACGGAGCTATCTGGTGGAGATCCACGCGGCCTTGGTTTGAGCCCACCACGCTTTGAGGAGACCTACGGCTAGCTTTGAGACTGACTCCAAGGTCACGCAGACGCGTGGGGTGACCGTGGGTGCCACTACGCTTTGCTTGGCCTTTCTGGCCACCTGAGCTCGCCGAAGCTCAAGTCGAACGACCCCTACGTGAACTTCGCCAACGACGAGAAGAACTTGGAGTGCATTTTTGGTTGAACTCGACCAATGTCAGAAGAGAAGGGACATGGCTATGCAGGAGGCTGGTCAGAGTCAGGCTTCGACTCCTCTATCCCCGCTTGGGATGGAAGAGCTGACTCTTGAGAGAGTTCAGGAGGACGGTGACTTGGTGGTTGTCTTCGATCGACCTCACGAAGACCAAAGGTTTCAACTTGGCCGCCAGGTTTACCATGAAGCAGAAAGGTTCGGCCAGGATGAGGGCACTTGAATTCTCGCCGGAGGATTTGTCCTTTGTGCCAGAAGAAGCTGTTGAAGACCCTGACAACCCTGACGGGGATAAGATCATCCTGAAGGAGGCCGACTACACTTGTGGTGTTTGGCGCCTCATTGAGGCCTGGGAGACGATGGTTGGCAAGACAGCCAGCGACAAGAAAGGAGAACTCCGTGAACGCTTCTACATGACTTTGAAGAGGAGTTCGCACGAGGCTGTGGTGAACTTTTCACTCAGGTACCGCACCCTGGTGGCTGAGATGCGGGCAGAGGGCATTGCTTTGGACGATGCTGAAAGTGCTTGGTTCTACAAACAGAAGCTGAGCTTGACCGAGGTGCAGAAGCAAATGCTGGAGACAACCCTTGGAGGCACTGCAGAGTCTTACGCTGAGTGTGAGCGTGAGGCGGTCCGCCTTTTCAAGCGGATCCACATGGTTGGAACACCAGCTCCTCCTACGCCGTGGAAGAGGCCTATGTTGGGTCGCCCTGGATCTGGCAAGGGAGGCACTTCAACTTGGAGGAGACCTTCTTCCTCGGCTTCAACTTCAGTGTCAACGAGCTCATCTAACTTCTCTCGTGGTTCTCGCATGAGCCTTGGTGCATCAGCTGTCAATGTTGCTGAACAAGACCCCTTGGTTGAGACTGAGGAGTATGAGATGGAGCCCTATGATGCTCTTGAGAGTCAAGCTCAAGAGATGCCTGAGGACTCAACTCAAGATGATGGAGCTCTTCATGCCTTGGAGGAAGAGATTGAAGTTCTGGCTTCTGAACTGGAAGCTGCAGCTCAAGAGGGCTGCGATGGTGCCGAGCTGGAAAGCTTGGAAGAACAACTCGACGGTGCTGTCGAGGCCTTGGTGACTTTGCGAGAAGCTCGTGCTCAAATCGCTGGACCGCCTGGCAAGAAGAAAGCCGGGCAATGTCATGCCTGCGGCCG